TAGACCCAATTGGACTAAATTGGACCCAAACACAAAGTTAGTGTATTTCATATTCCTAGAGTTCTCATCCATTTTGGGATTATATCTTGCTCTTTTTAGGTTTTGGGATTATTGGATTAATAACTCTTTTTTATAAGGAAATTGGATTAATGACTTTAAAAGCCTTAATTAGTTTAATTTAATTTCTTCAAAAAAAAAAAAAAGTTTAATTTCTTCTTGATTTTTTCTCAAGGATTCCTTCTAGCTGGATATTATAAATTTATGAGTCGTGAGCTTCTTAATGTCGTTTTGATGACCCTCTTGAGATGGTGCTTATGAATGCGCTAATACACCTCAATTTGGATAATATTGCATTTTATTTAATTTTTGAGGAAAGAATTCGCAAATTAATCATCCTTTGTTCTCTATATATACAATCATTCCTTTTGTTGTTGATATTTAATGTAAAATTAAAAAAAAAAATCTTATCTTCGTGTGTGACTCTATTCCCTCACCCTCAAGTACTTATATAACTAATTTCCGTAATTTTTCATTTTGGATGGTTCATGTGGTCTATAGTACTTAACAGTGGATACATTAAAAGTTTCTTGTTTTAGAAAAGATGTTCATAAAAGTGTCTTATTTGATGATTTATGTTTGAAAGAAATTATTGATCCAACGTAGTAAAAGGTAAATCAAGCTTGCATATTATTATCTTGCAAGTTGGTAAGTTGACATTTTTGCCTAGGACAAATTGTGTAAAAGTTATTTGAGGTATGATAATGATTATTTAATAGCCCCCTTTCATCTCATTTATTAGAGAAAATGATAATGATGTTGATCAAGCAACTCAATATATGCTTTATACGCGTCGTTACATTATTATTTCAAGCAAAAAGAAGGTGACAATATCCTTTACCAATAGCTGGCCATCAATTGCCTTTTTTCTTTGTGTGTAGTGCTTCTTGTTAGATCAATCAAGTTTGATTATCTTAGTTAGACCCCTTTTTCCTTCTTTGGAAATTAAATTAAAATGAAATTGAAATCAAAATTTTCTATTAAAAGTTAATTGATTTTTCATACTTTACGACACTTTATATTAATTAATTATATAAGAAGAATTTTTATACTTTATGACAATTTATTGAAGTATATATGTTTTTTCAAATTAACATATTTATGACAGTTTAATTAATCAATAGATTCCCCCCCCCCCCAAAAAAAAAAAAATTAATAATCAATAGATATTCCTCAAAAAAAAAAAAAAAAAAAAAAAAAAAAGAGAGACAAATTTAGTAAATAGGACAATTTCATGATTATTTTAATAGGGAGTACCATTTTAATTCCATAGTTATATATCAAGCCAACTATTTTAGGATGATAGAAAATGTGTCTTCAATTTAAATTTTTGAAAAATAATAATATACAAATAATGTGTTTTTCTTAATCTCGACATCAAAAACAGACATTATATTGTGGGACGAGTGGACATTACCTATTTAGCGATTTACATAAGATTTTTACCAGAAGTAAATTTATACTTGCACACTACTTAGACCGTAGTACTTATAAAAATTATAATTTATTCACACTATCATTAAAAACAAGTCTAATTGGTGATTCTAAATAACTGCATTAAAGAATATATATATATAAGCACCAAATAAAGAATTTAGTTCCACGTCAAGTGGACCACCCTTTTAGATTTCTACTCTTCCTACAAATAAATTATGTCATTAGCCTACAAAAATCACATCTAAAACATTCTCATTTTCCATCCCTCTTTCATCAATTCTCTCAATTTATATTAGCTACCTCTCAAAAAAAAAAAAAAAAAAAACAACAACAACAACAAAAAACCCTTCCTATATGCCTCCATTTTTATTCATTCTTTCTTCTTAGAAACAAAACAAAAACCAATTAGATCAATAATTATGATGCATAAATATGATTATTTCATCAAATCTTGGAGAATTAAGAGGGAAATCAATCAAATTAAGCAAATTTGCGGCGAAATTTGACCGAGGAGAGATCATCATCAATCATCGTACACCATTATGAATGATCATATTTGAAGCCCCCCTCAGCATATTCAAATTTTTTTTTGGTAAATCCTGTTTTGACAAGATAGGTTATGGTAATGGAGATTATCATATCTGTATTCTTGTTATTTTGTGGAATTGCAATTTTGGTAATAATTCATATTTGTATTGTTGGGAGGGCATATAGTAGAGGTTTTGGAGCAGATGGTGTCCCTTACATTAAGGGTGCAGGCATGACTCTGCAAGACCTTAAGAAACTGCCGTGTTTCGAGTACAGCAAACAGACAGTTTCAGAGAAAGAAACTTCTGCTCCTGCTGCTGTTGCTGCTGCTGCTGCTGCTGCTGCGGCTAATAATACTGATGCTGCAATCCTTGATTGTGCGGTTTGTTTAGACAGTTTCGAGGTTGGTGATTACTGCAGAAGTCTGCCTAATTGTCACCATTACTTTCATGTTCAGTGTGTTGATGTTTGGCTTACCAAATCACCATTCTGTCCGGTTTGTCGAACCTGCACTGTCATCAAACTGTCGCCTAAAGTTGTATCAAGTGTAGGCGATGCAGGAAACAATGCTACATCAGCCAATGTCGCGGTTGATCTGTGTTAGGTACAAACGTACAAGTGTGAGTATGTTTGTCCCGCATTGAAAATTGCAGACGAAAGCCTTTCAGTTAGGCTTTGTCTGTTGGGTTATCTTTCTATTCATCATAAACAATTGGTGTAATACAGTTGTAGTATTAGATTTCATGTTCTGTTATTGTATGTCTAGTTTAAAAATCACAGGCTTGTAAATTTATTTGGTTGGGTAAGGATATTGTTAGCCTGATGATATTTTGTACCTATAGGTTGCCTTTGTATGGCATTATATGCTGCTATGAGTTAAGCATTTGATTCGGATTTTTTAGTGAGTATTTCAGCCAAAAATTCCTTGTATAAATCCCACTAGGGGCAGAGTTTAGGGAGGTTCAGATGTACACAATCAGATACCAAAGCGGCGTTTTTCTTTCAATAGATGATGGAGTACCTAGTTCTCCCTAGTCTTTAAAAATCGAAACTCTAGTATATAACTAATTAGTATGCAAATAGCAAATTACTAAATTAGGTAGATGATACTTGAACAACATTACATGTAACATGATACATCAATTTCTTATTTAGTGACCTTATACCAAAATCGGGTGATAAGATATTTCTTAACATTGATTGGTTATGTTCTTGAAAATGGCTCTAGCTAAATGCAATTTTGTAACCGTCCCAAACAACATAGAAAAATAGCTGTACAAGCCAATTAACAGGACAAATCTTGGAGCTGGTCCTCTTGATGATATAGAATTGAGTGCTTTAATTTGCAGATATTTTTCTTTAAGATTAAGAATATCGATAAGAAGGATCTTTTCATCTTTTGAATTTTTGATTAGTCATGTGTTAGTCATATGGGTCCCAACAATGCTATTAAAAACTATTTTACAAACGTGTAGTAACAATATCAAGTAGGACAAGTGTATCATTTCTTGCACAATCTTACCATAGATGAATTGATAATGTAAGATGACTACTAGATTCAAATCTAGGTAGCACCTCATTTGACACTTGTAGTTTTATGCTTCTGAAATAGTTTGAAGTTTGGCACCAAAATTTAGCATTCACTCAAAATAGAAAAAATCATCGATTATACCCATCTTTGACTATGAATATACCTAAACACCCAAAGAAAAAAGATCGATTATCACACAATTCAATACCGAATAGCAATTTTGATATTCCTGGGTATCAAATAGTTGATTTTAATGATTCTTCTAATCTCAATTACCATGCTTGAAAAAGATTGGCAACTTGCGTGTTTTAAAATTCACGAGTTACCAAACATATCGAATGACTAGAAATTTACATATATCATTACCCTTTTCGAGGGAAAAAAAGAAGCAAAACATAAAGCACTAATGTCTACATATAAGGCTAAAATCGAAAATAATAAATGAAATAAAACATTAATTACACTTATCGATCTAAATGTTTATTTGTAGCACTAAGAACACATACATTATTACCCGAAATACAACTATAATGACCTTATCAATAATCCAAAGGGTTGTAATAAGCAAATTCTCTTTAAAATTATTGCTATCAATAGTAATGGGACATTGCACATATAATGGTGGAACAATCATTTATGTGTCCCTATTTTTGCCTTTTTAATTTTGGGGCTTGTGGTGTCATTTCATATTATTAGCTTGTGGGCACATAAAGAGGACTTTTGAAGTTGGGGTCTTAACAAGTCCTTCCTGAAAGGAAAGCTACTCAACAAAATCGGGCGAAAATACTGAAAAGCCAATTGATATTAAATCAGAATGAAAATTAAAAAGCCACAAACAAAGGTATTGAAACTTGAAAGCATCGTCCTAAACTAGCTTGTAAAGTGGCCAAAAGCCCAAAATTGATATAGTAACGTAGTAATAGCTTAATAGGTACTCCATAGTATTTTTTTTTTTTTTACTCTTCTTTATTGTTAAATCAAGTAATAAAGGGGGAATAAAGGGATGTATGATGACATTAAGAGATTGAAGCATGCCTTTACTTCATTTAAATGTAGTAATATTCATCGGACGGATAATACATTAACACATCTTATAACTAGATACAATACTAGTGAGTCAATGTTTGTATGGTTTGACAGTTTACCCCAAAGCTTTTTAACTTTGACAGAACTCAATTTGACTTAATAATATTATTCGCCTAACGTTTCCTCTTAAAAGTAATAAAAGGGAAAAAATTTAAATATACAGAGTATTATCCTGAATGGGCTTAACTATCGAAATCTGTATTTTATAACAGCAAGTTTAAATTTTGTACAGGTAAGGAGAAGCTACATTACGATGTTTCCTACATAATCTTTTCAAAATCAATCTACTAAACCATATTTATTGTAATGAAAAAAAAAAGTCAAACCCATAATAAAAAACTTCATCAATATTTTAGGAAAATATATGGTCAACGCATAATATCAATATAGAATATAGAAAAGCAAAAGCTGAAAGCTTAGCCAAACACTGTCGAAAAATATACAAAGGAAACAGGTTCAACTAATCATAATGGTCCATAGAATCCATAGATGTTCCTAAGATACCAACTAAAAGTTTAACATGACCAACTATCTTCTTCCACTTCCATTTCCATTAATAAAATTCCACATCGCCCGTAATAAAAAGTTTGAGACATTAACTACCACAGGGATAAAAGGCACCTCAACTTAATTTTGAGAAAGATGATAATTGGATTGAAAATAACCAATAGCCATCAGCAACTGATTCATTTATTTTCAGCAACATTACTCTCAAGCTCCCTCCTTAGTTGCAGAGAGAAGTCATCGTTGACATCATCATCATCCCAATCGTCTTCCCACTGCTGAGTCACCTCCTTGCCTTCCTTGCTGTCCCACTCTGTAGTAGTAATACATAATCAATTGTGAAACCAAAGCAAGTGTAAATCCACATTGAAAGCATAGATTATCCATTTGCAAGGTTACAATGGTTTTGTCCTCTTCTGTTTAAATGTTATACAGAAATGTTGAATCACGGTACCCTGAATGTATTGACAGATATAGTTTACAGAGAGAAGGGGGGGGGGGTGAACATAGTAATGCACACTGATAGTTAAGCCTTGATAAAGGGAGACAAGTGCTGAAAATACAGGTTACAAGTCCTCAGACTATGGAATCCCTGTTCCCATCACATACTCCCCACCCCAAGGTCAATTGCAAAGCGCACTCTACTGCTTACTGAGAATTCAAATGTTACATATTAATGCAAAAATTAGAGACTCCATCTATAATATTGCAAATCAAGTTTAATCAGGTCCCAAAAGCTACAGAATAGTCAAGATGCAATTAGCCAATAAAAATCAATGAAATGAGAATGTAAACCAGACGCAACACTTTGGCGATGGATGCACACCTAGCTTCATGCTACTACGATTACTCAACTTTAGTTAAACTTATCAAAAATGCTGACTCTCACTCACCCAATAATCAAACCATTTTGGTAAAATGTATGTTTTCTCTAGTTTCTCTACCAGGCCCCACAAATTACAATGAAATTCTCCTGGAGTGGGTAGACTCTTGTAGTCTTGTTAGCATAAGCTACATAATCCTATCAGAGTAAACAATAATAAACCAGACTCTGGCATTTTGGTAATGTACAAACACCTGGCTTGTATAGAGCCCTGGATTTCGGAACAATGGTATGTGCGGTAATGATTAAAAGCTACAAATTATTCTTAGTTACAGATGCTTGTTGGAAAAAGTTCCTTATTAATGAAAGACACTACCTCAAAAGTGCAATATAACAAAAATGTTCACAGCATTTGTAAAAAAAAGGGAGCTTAATTTTTCAAGCCATGAGTTTCACCAAGAAACATATGGTATCAAGACTTCGAAAGTTGAGTCGCTGTGGCAGAGGGAGGAGGCACATGCATCAAAAGATGCTAGACACCAAAAATTAAGTTAAAAAAAATGAAGGAATTATGGAAAGAGACACATAACAGTAAAAAATGAATACAACACGCAAGGATGGGGGAATTTCCAAACAGCAAAGCAATAAAAGTTAGGAAGACGGCATGAAGGGGTGAGAGAAGACACAGTGAATGCAAGGCCAGAGAAGGTATTCTTTGAAAGTTTGAATCACAAGGTCAAAAACTCCCTCCCATTTCAAGTCATATTCCATAATGCACCTTTAATTTTAAAAAAAAAAATTCTCTTATAATTTCTCCATTAAATGTAATTTGCAACAAGGGGGGTGGGGGGGGGGGGGGGGGGGGCGGGGGAGGAATGAAACTTCAGGGTACATAATTAAGAGCTAAGAGGGGAGAGAGAGTGAATAATACTCTAGCCAAACTAACCCACTGTCACCACCCACACCGCCTTCACCACCACCCACACCACCTAGCCACGCCACACCCACAAGCCCAAACCCAGACCCACAAACCAAACCCGGTACCACCCAAATACCACCCAGAACCACCAAAACCAATCCAAAACCACCAAAAACCAACCCACGAACCACCACAAAATCGAGCCACCCAGAACAAACCCAGAACCACCACAACCCAAAATCACCCACGAACCACAACGACTCAAAATCGAGCCACCCAGAACCACCAAAAACCAACCCACAAACCACCCAGAACCACCACGACCCAAAACCACCACCGAACCCCAACCCAGATCTACAATACCCAAATCCACCCCAATTCGGACCCAAAACCACCGTAAATAAAACCCAGAACCACCGTAATCCGGCTCTAATCCACCCTAAGTCACTCAAACCTAGAACCACCAAACTTGTCTTCTTCGCCGTCTTCTTCATTGTTGTACTAAATCTTGAATCTTCTTCTTCAATTCGTTGTTCTTTAAGAAATTCTTTCTCAAATATGATTAATTGAATTAGGAAGATGAAATTGTTGTTGATGAAAGAGCTTGAGGTTGAAGGAGGAGAGAGAAAGATGAAATTGTTGTTGTTGATGAATAAAGGTGGAAGATGAAAGATTTGAGGGAGATGAATGAACTTTGGGTTAGATTAGTGTTATAATAGTTTATGATTATGTATACTATTAGGTGTTAATAATTTTTAAATAAGGGCATTTTGGTCTTTTTGTCTGAAAAAACTTACTAAAAAAGGAAAAAAGAAGTTTGTTGAAAATAATAGTTAGCTTCCATTTTGGGTAAATGTTGCAAACGGAGGTAGTATTTCTTTCCCTGTTTAGGTTGACAACCAGAGATTAGTCCGAAGATCATCTCCTAGAAGATGAGTGTCAATCCTAGAACATTGGCTTGTAAAAAAAAAGTAGCGAATCTACTAGCCAAGAAAAACAAGACCATCGCCGAAGCAGTAAAAAACTTCAGGATGCAGATTTAATCAAACCTAGCGCTTACACCAAATGGTTGGCGGATGTAATGATGGACATGAAGGCCAATGACTCCCGAAGGATGTGCGTTGACTTTATGGACCTAAATAGGGTTTGTCCGAAGGATTTCTTATCCCCGCCAAGGATCAATTAACTAGTGGACTCAACAAGTGGGCATACTCTGCTTAGTTTCATGGACACATTTTCGCCAAAGCTGTAAGGGTTGCTTGATCTAGCTTGTGGGCTAGCATATCAAATTTTAAAGCAATAAGAAAAATCTATCTCGGTCTCACTAACTAGTAGCAAAGGTAAAAAAGGGTCGATCCCATGAGAGATATTGGATCATTCACCAAATGTTATCATTTAGACAAGCAAATTAAGTCAAGGTTTTGGTTTGGATCTATTTCAATTACTAATTCAAGACAATTAAAAGCTAAGTGGGGAATTAACAATATTAAAAAGGTTTATAGGTCGGGTTATACCACTGAACTTCATCACAAACCACAACTAGCATGTACAATAAGGCAAAATAAGGGAAGTCATCTAAGGCACCCAACTTAACCCTAGATATACGATTAATTTGAAAAATCATCTTTACTTTTTTTAGAAATTTATGTTTGCAAATATTTTTAATATTACCTCATCAAGAATTAATTGTAAATTATCTTAATACTTCTATACACAAAACATAAAGAAAAAAGACCCGACGAAGACAGACTATAGAAAGTAACTCAATAATGAGTTCACAATGACATGATAATCACCACATTAGGCAACAAGTAACAATTTTATAAAATGGCTTGAGTTGTCAGTCTTATACAACAAAAGCCTAACAAAAAATGAAACAAAAAATAAAAAAATGACGCGGAGTTTATATGGGTTCGGGTACCCAACCCATGTTCACGGATTTTAATGATAACATGTTAGGGTTCTTCTTTCAAAGTTACAATATTCATAATGAGGAGAAGAGATTGATAAACATGGTAGATCATGTGCTTAAATTAAATGTCCATAAGAAAATCTCTTGACTAGAATTTAGTCAAATAAAAAACTAACGTACACAAGCACAATAAAATTTAAAGTCAAGTAGTAGATAGTAGATAGTAGCAGTAGCATCAACATCGGCATCAGGAAGGGTGGAGGATCTCACAAGGCAACAAGGTTTTCGATCTCCTTGAAATCCAAAAAAAATACCAGCTCGGAGCATAAATGAGCTTCTACTTTAATCACTCTTTTCAAAAGGCACATTGTGGTGACATGTTAGGCTACTTAAAGTATTTTGTAGCTGTAACTTTCAAGGCTTCATCAAAAGTAGTACCCTAACTATATGCATTACCTTGTCCTAAACGGGCTTTAGAGCTACCACTCCCCTAATTCCCACTACTTGAAGGCTCATTAGGAAACTTTGGGATGTATTTACAGTGGTAGATGTTGTGAAGCCTACTTTGTTACGTCTCTTGTTTCATAATACCCTACAAAGCACAAAAGATGTGTCTCCCCTTGGCAGATAGAGCGGAAACAGAAAGGAATTTGGCATTCCAAGATCTGACTTGCTACCCGAAAAGCTCTTCTTTTTATGCCAGCAGGGGTGAGTAAGAAACGTAGTCTAGGAAGACTAATTGAGAATGGGAACATCGACCAAGATATCGATTCAGCCCGAGTCAGGGAGGGAAATCAGGAAGAAAGGGCAAATTTCTTTGATTCTTGGTTCTGACAAAGGGCGGATGGGGTAGGCAAAGATAGCTGCATTTCTTTAGGTTCGATTCATCAATGTCGGTATCTAAGTCACAGATTGATGTTGTCCTCCCTTGGCTGATTAAGCAAAGCTTTTTTAGCTATAAGACCCCATAATACCCGATTGAACAAGAGGTGTTGTTTCGTCGAAAACTTACAATATGGACTCTGCCCCTTGCTCACTTTCCCTACCTTTTTGGAGTCCGGGAAAGGAGCGGGGGCAGAAACAAGCAAAGTTTCGTGCAATCCAATAAAAAGAGGAACAACAAATAAGACTTCCTCGCCTTATTGAGACAGAATGAGTTGCTAGATTTTTTTATTTTTTTTTGAAACAAGAACGAGTTGCTAGCTTAGTCCCTTAGCAAAGAAGGAAATTACTCACTTGCTTCTTCTTAAACGTTCGTGATCCTTGCGAACGGAAAGCAAGCAAGAAAGCTAGCCATCTTCGACCTCATCTACTGGCCACACTTCCTCTGGCATTACGACCTCTCACCTTAAGGGTACAATTTCAGGTTTAATAACTTAGCTGGATTGGTTACGCTGTCTACTAGAGTATGCTAGAGCTTGCAGGCCGAGCCTCCTCCAAATACTTAGGATGTATTGAGAATGCCTTTGAGAAGAACCCACACGGCGGGGTTAATCCTGGCAGGTTGTAGCTACCGGGAGCCTTATCCTCTTGTCAACCAGACTGATCTCGTGTGTCTTACGATGAGAACAATCTCGCTTTGAGATGACACACCCCCAAAACTCCCACACCTTTCTTGGTTGGAAAGAGTTACTTCTTAGAATTCCCTCCCTTTATAAGCTCTAAAAAGAGATCATGGCGTTCCGTTATGGTTTTTAAGATACTGAATTACAAAGCCCACTTAATGGTTTGAAAAGCACACATCCAAGTCCAAATTGGTCTCTAAATGCAGGAGAAAATATAATAGATGTCGTTACAATGTCTAAACTACTCTATCATGTTTTGAATATCGATAAAGTGTCTTAATACCATTGCAAGACTAATGACTTAATGCTTTATGATTAGATTAATAACTAAGCACTATCATGAGCTAAATTTATTGCCATATAAACTTGTAATAAAATGGCAGCAGTTATTAGAAAGATGAGCACATATGTAAACAATTTCGAACCTTCAAGTTCAGCTGAAAAGCTCCATGTTAACTTCTCACAACAACAATGACGTCCTCCATGATTGGACCCCTTCCAATTCACATTGCAACTTCCGGAATAAGTGTTATAATAACCTAAGTTGCAATATGAATTGGAAAGGGTTCAATCATAGAGGACGTCATTGTTATTGTGAGAAGTTAACATGGAGGTTTTCAGATTGAGAAGAACATGAAGGTCCGAAATTGTGCACATATGTGCTCTTGAATAACTGCCACCAGTTTATTACAAGTTTATATGGCAATGAATTTAGTTCATGATAATGCTTAGTTATTAATCTCTTCATAAAGCATTAAGTTATTAGTCTTGCAATGGTATTAATACACATCATCGATATAAAAAACATGATAGAGTAGTTTTAACATTGTAATTGCATCCATTATATTTTCTACTGTATTTAGAGACACATCTTTTGTGCTTTGTAAGTATTATAGGACAAGGAGCATATCAAAGTAGGCTTCACAAGATCTACTACCATAAATACATCACAAAGTTCCCTAATGAGCCTTCAAGTAGTAGGAGTTAGAGCCTGTCGAGGACAAGGTAATGCATGTGGTTAGGGTACCACTTTGATGGAGCCTTGGAAGTTACAGCTACGAAATACTTTTATTAGCCTAATACACCACCACAATGTGCCTTTTGAAAAATTGATTAAAGCAGAAGCTCGTTTACGCTCTGAAATGATAGCTGGTATTTTTTCACAAGTTAAAAAAGATAGCGGAGATTGACAAACTTGCTGTCTTGTGTGATCCTACGGACCTACACCCTCCCCGAAGCTGATACTGATGTTGATTACTATCTACTACTTCACTTTAAATTTTATTGTGACTTTCGTAGGTTAGTTTTCTATTTGATTAAATTCTGGTCAAGAGATTTTCTTATGGACATTTAATTTAAGCACATGATTTGCCATGTTTATCAATCTTTTCTCCTACCATGGTATAACCAAGGCCATTTGTGGTGGAAACAACTAATAAACTATGTGGTATACAACCCAACATCCTAACTCTTAGCTTCACCAATTTGGCATGCAATTGTCAAATCTATGGCTTTCCCATTAAATAATAGTATATTTGAAACATTTGTTAGCTTGCACTACTCCGGAAAATAGGTCTATCATATATGTCTAGAATAGTTTCAAAGAGCCTTATTCCTTGATTCTTCTTCAGAGTTGCACATTGTTTGAACTTGATCGACACAAAATAACCCTCTGTTAGGATAAATTGGAGAATCAGATCCCAAACAACTCACCATTTCTAACTAACATAACAAGCCATAAACCACAATCTAAGGTCATCTTATTTTCGACCAGATCAACATATGATTATCAGTACGTCTTTATATGTGTACACGTGCATAAGCTATTAAGCTCATTGCGCTTGCATTTGCCTACCCAGTGCAACTATCTTCTTGTATACTAGAAAGGAAAACCCTCATATCTTTTGGATACCTTCTTCCCTTTCAACACTCACATTTTCAATTATCAGCCAAATCATCTTTTTAAGCAATAAAGTAGCTTAAGATTCTAGAGGCAAAGAACATAATGCATCCAACAGTCCAACCACAAACAGAAATGGAGGTTATTATCAATCTAACATGGTATCTAATGCTTAAAACTGTATGCAATTTTTTTAAACTCATAATAACCAGCGTAATAGAGGATTGTATGACCACATTCCACTTTGAGCAAAAGTTAAAATTTCAACATTTCAATTCAAAAATGGGCAGAAATCACACAACCTTTTCCTCAAATCGAGAATAAGGAACATGCATATACTAAATTAAGATCAAAGAGACAAAAAACAACGTAAATCAAAACCTAGTAAATTGCTAATTTGCTAGGTTGTACCAGAATTCAATGGAATCAAAATACAGCAATGAAAAAATAAGCTAAAAATCAAAATAACGAAGACAATAGTTTCAAAATTATTACCAAGATCGATTTCAAACTCCTCAAATTCATCATCGTCTTCAAAAAGATCCATCTTAGCTTCTTCGGAAGCTGGTTTAGCCTCGTTCGTCGCCATTACCTAAAATGTTCAATTTCAACACACTGTATGAAACCCTAATTTTCGGAAAACAGGGCTCGAAATTCAATCAACAAAAACGCAATTGATATTCGATTAATAAGAAGAAATTGAAGACAAAAAAGTAATTAAGCGGCTAATATACTCACCAGTCACCAGAAAACAATTTAGGGAAGAACTGAAGATTTGGAGCGAAGAGAGATAAATACTATTTAAGAAAGCATGATGAAGTAACAAAGCAAAACGTTGCTTATTTTAAAGCGGGATCTAGAAAGAAAGAAAAGGATCTTAATTACGCACAAAATTATTGGGCCTCCTTCGGCGTAGTGGCTTGTAGCATTTGTGTTTTGGGCTATGTTTTCATGACCTCTCTTTGATATTATTACGGAAGGCTAGTAGCTAGAAGGTTTCGAGGATCGTTCATGTACAATTGGTTGTATCTTGTAAAGGACAACTAAAGTTACTCCGTATTTTTTTATGTTGTATGCCCATAAGGTACAAGCACGGAAATTGATTACTAACAGTAGTTGTATACTTGCATGGCTTGTATCTTGCATAAAGTATTACTGATTGTACATTGAAAATTGTTGAATGATTTCTACTCTGTATTACAATGATAGAAAATCTTGCAATATGGGAAGAATTTGACCCCAAAGGAAAATAAGAGGTGGGGGTTATTTAATAAAGTAAACAACCCTAACATATTTCAAGGTTTGGGTTGTGCCACTTATGATTTATTAAGTTTGTAATAGACATTTTTTAATTTTCTCATAGTAAAAAGGATTCTTTTTATTAAAAAAAAAAGGATGCATACAAATTAGGGTATTCTTCTTTAAAGGCTAATCTCTTACTAATCTAAACAAAAAGTTACTACCAAAAATGCAAAAAAAAAAACCTTACAAAAGCAATATATAATCGGATTACGATTAGCTTATCACATATTGTTCTCTAGGTATATGTTGCTAGGAATTCCTCTATCAATTAGTTGATCATACAAAAAATGGCAATATGATGACTCATAAAACATGATCAATGAGACCTTACTTTTATTTATGAACATAATTTTGTATTTTACATGTCAACATATTTGGATATCTTATCTTCCTATAAAAAAAGGGTGGGACAAAAGGACATCGTTAGATTGTTAGGCTACACAAAGTCAACTAACAAGAAGAAATTAAAGGATTGTATTAGGTAAAATAAAAGCTAAATTTTATTTATTAGCTCTTACCTGCTTTTGTGGTGGATCTCAAATGGACACTTACACTAATGCCTACCAATGGAAAAGCACAACCATAATGCAATGAATGATTTTTACCTTTCTAAATTTAATGATCACTTTTCAATTGAGCTTTGAAGTATCAAATTTAATCATTCTTACTAGTTTGTGCACCTAATCATAAAGCAATGACCAATTTTACAAATTACGTACGATAAAAACTTAAGGTACTTACATTCACTTATACGGATGATATTTTAATAGTTGTATATTAAGGTGAATAAATGTTTTTTATACTCTCGAAGTTAGTGATCACATGTTGACATTATTCAAATTGAATATCTATGATTTTGACCTAAAATGTATGATGTACATTATCAAACTAGTATTATGATGAGGCTCCTTTCACAAGAGTACAGTCCCCCCCCCCAAAAAAAAAAAATATATGAAACAATAATAATAATTAGAAAATCAATTGTGATTAAGGGAGTAATTTTACTCATTAGAACTTTGTACTCTAATTTTTATTAGGGTGGTAATTGTGATGAAATCACTTCTATGTCAATGTCCTATAGGTAAATCGTAAATAGGTGTCAAAAACTGAACAAAGTTTTCCAAGAACTCAGGTCACTAAGTCATTTGCATAGATAATGTTTAAGCTACTGCCCTTGATAAAAAATTCAGCCATACATTTAGCAAAGCATATAACATACTAACAATACTAGTAACTAGTAAGACCACAATCTTTAGTCTTTATTCACTTAATATCAAAATACAGAACTTCAATCTGTGATAAAGTTTAACATCTATGGCAATTGAGCCATATTATATTCTCTACTGAAAAGAATGCTAAGTGTAAATTTATACAGTATACAATAACCAATTGCAAAGAACCTAAGCCTAACATATTGTTTCAGCTCTTTGAAAAATCTAGCTGATTGCTCAAAAATAACTCTATGGATTCCAATTTGGTAAATCCTACATATATACAAATTATGATTATAGCTTAATTATTATGTATTACCCCTAAATTGCATGAACAAACCTTTCCTTATGAACTTTGGAAGCAGCTGTTAAACTCGAAGAGCTCGATTCCTGAAACTTCTGCAGCATATTGATTAGCATTCGCGCTTTCCTGCTACCATGTGAGCTTCCATCAGTAGTGAGTGCATATAGTGAGGGCATGATAGCTGGTTCCTTAGCCAAAATTGCGACAACTTCATCCCCAACATTCGTGCACAATGATGCTAAGATTGACACACAATATTCTTTTCCTGCCTTTGAAATGGAGGATTTTAACAATCCCATGATCAAAGTCATAGCCGAGGTTTGTAGAATCGCGATACACCCATCAATCCTCTCAGCCAAACAAGCTAAAATAGCCAAAGAATCAGCTATAAGGTCTGATCTCTCAATGGAAGAGATAAGATCAACTAGTTCTGGTACAATTCCAGCTTCAAGTACTCTTTCATGATTTCTATGATATAAAAGCAGCCCGAAAATTGCAGCAATCGCGTTCTTCTTCCCACAAATCGTCCCATCTTTAAGGAGCTCAATAAGTCCAGGAATAGCCTGTCTTGTTGAGCCAATCATTTTCCTGTACTTCTCCACAGAAGACAGGTAAAAAATGGTGGCTGCTGCAATCTGTCTCGATTCGAGCTTCATCCCTCTTCGAAGGACTGAAATTATCAACGATAAACCACCTTCTTCGATGATCGATTTCTGCCCTTTCGAATGCTTTGCCAGCTTCAAAAGAGCAGCAATTGCATTCTCTTGTGTGCTAGGATCATCTGATGTAAGAAGATCCAATAGAGGAGCAACATTACCAACTTCAATCAAAATCGAACGATTAAATATACTCGATTTAGTCAACAATCTTATCTCATAAGCAGCCTTATTCTTCTGCTCATCAGTTCCATAAGTCAGCCTCCCAGCAAGAAACCCAGCTAAAAATCTCACAGCCTCCCTCGTAGCCGGAGTAGGCGATACAACCGTCCTCGGTGATTCCTTGCTTCTTCTACCTGATTTCGATATCGAAATTCCATTCTCCAAGCAAAACTGTTGTATCAGCCTCTTCAGAGCAGAATTTGGTACTAATTCTGTACTTTCCAGCCTCTCCCCTGTCTTGGGACAGAGTAAATGCCCTGAATTCAGCCACTTCTGAATTGATGCTCGATCATATGTTTGGCCGGTGGATATAGTAACAGGATCCATCATCAATTCCAATGAAATTGGGCATCGAAAATCCTCAGGATTCAAGCAATTAAGCATCTCTCCTGGTGATTTCACTTCAATTTCGACAATAATTTGCTCATCATTTTCATCCAATGAATCGAAAATTACTGCCCTGCAGTAGCACATAAATCCCAACAAATTACTAATTAAGGGAATTTCTCTTTCATCTTCTTCAATATTACTCATTTCATCTTCCAAAAACTTGACCTCTTTATTGCAATCTTCCCAATTATAAATCCCTAAATAATCAAAAACCCGTTTGATCAACCCTCTTTCGGGTTCGAATGCGTTCTCGAATTGGTTTAATATCAATATCACCCTCTCCATGGCACATTGATCATTCAGGCTTACATCGAGCTTCGATTTTTGTGCTTGTTTTCCAAGTAATTCAACTAATTCCTTCACTTCAGAACTGATTTGGAGTGAATTTAGATAAAGTATATCAAAAGCAGTAGCAGTTGAGCTAATCAAAACCCGGAATTGATTAGCTATAAACTGTGATTTCATCAAAATAAAGAGTCTAGACCCTTCTCGAGTACAATCTTGTAGTAAAAATTGAATCTTTTGGAGTATAAAATGAAGCTCTGAAAGGCATAAAATGAGGGATTTGGTAAATTTTGGTTGATAATCACGGATATTTTCGAAAAATATATGGAGGATTTCGACTTGTCGAATTACTTCCCGGGCAAATTTTTTCTGAGAGGGAAAAAATTTGGCTTTGAATTTTGTAACATCATTAGAGATAGTGATCAAAGAAGTGAGAAGAATCGAGGGGGATATCGATTCACACGGTCTAACCGCGGGGAATTTAAGAATCCGACGATTATCGGGATCGATTTTACGGATCATTGGTGGATTTTGTGGATGGAAAATGAAGGATGAAAGGGAAGGAGAAAGAAGAACAGAGTTGCTCTGTTTCTGTTTGTGCTACTAATATAGATAGGAATATGATAAGGCAAAAAAACTTTGGTAAAAAAAAACATAACAGAAAAGAATCTAGTATTGGCGGTATTTTAGTTGTCAATTTTACTGTTGGGTAAAAAAAAAAAAAATTAACAGAGAATTACGTAGGATATTTCTCGTAGGACACGTGGCAGCCGACAATGCGGCTTACACGCTGAGAATGTACTGACACGTGTGGGTGGACACGTGGGGAGGTGGGGTTGGCGGGGAGATTTAATTCTCGGATCACGTAAACGATGCCGTTTTGCAAGGTAAAAATATTATGCCGATGTGATGGAATTGGAAGTTGGGCCCACAAAAACCGACTATGACACGTGGAGGATTAGGAAGATGACAAGTAGCATGGGTATTTCGTTGGAAAAAACCTCGAAGGAAAATAAAAAATGGGACTAGGTGCATAAAATTGCATAATTGCCTAATTGGTGATGTTATGCAATAATGAACAAGAAAAGAGTTATGGGAAGAAGCTTTGAGGAAGCTTGGGTTATAAATTTAATTGTGATTAAATAATTAATTGCGTAATCAGAATGTGCGGTAGTCTACTATTGGATGTCAAACAAGTAGACTTATATGTTAAGTGTTCTAATGTTTGAATTTGGCCATACATGTTGCTATCATATCGTTTGAAGTTTTATTATTTCTTTTTTTTTATCGAATACAAAGTAGTTTGAATATGCAACGTTGTATATGGCTCGGCATACTTAGTTTGAATGTTAGTTCCTATCCATTCACTTGTTGTATTATTCGCTATCTTTATAGAAAACAGACTGTATTATTGTTGATTGAATTACAAATGTTGAATATTTAATTTCCTTACATTTAAACAAACAATGATTGTTTTACTTCGTATATAACTGTCTCACATTTTTAATCATGCTTGATTATGGAGCAATTATTTATTAGTTGTATGTTTTTTCCCCTCATTATAATCAAATGATATATACTTCATTCGTTTTATATTATTTGCAACACATTCTTTACGGACGCAGTTTTGGAAGGTGATTAATGAAGGTAAACGAAATTTTTTTTCAAGATAATTTTAACAATAGGATTAGAGAAGAGTTAGGAAGGTATTATGTGTAAAAATTATTTTGATTAATTGAGTCGTTTACATTATATGATCTCGACCTAAAAATGTGTACCACAACAAACTGTTGCAAGCTTTAGATATAGAGGAAGTACGAGTTTGAGATTGGCCATATATGATCAAGTTCCTCGATCCTTTCCTTATAATTTTCAATCGGAAAATTAAAAACAGTTTGTTACCTATTGGAATCACTATATTTACCAATAACAGAGAGTAGTGATAATGGAATTGACATCAGCCACATCTATTACAAAACGGCTAATGGGCTATTTACCCAGTGATTAAACCGATGTAGCAATGTTCCTAAATAAGACTAAATGAATTAATTAATGCAGCAAACAGCACCTAAAAAAGTTAAGAAAATTCTGAATTAACCTAATTAACTGTATAAATTAGATCAGATCTAGCTAAATCAGACCTAAGAAAAGAGGAGATTCCAAATCAGCCAAAAATAAAGCCTTTATCACTGGCTTAATTAATCACTACACATGTGCATGTTGAGCAGTTAGTAGACTTAGTACCATATGCAAATGCTTTTATATTCATGGGATTTATCAAATTGTACTGATTTAACTAAAAAACTAAGGAATATGGTTCGATTTCAGTACATTTCACAGAAAACACAATCTAAGAGGCTTCATTGGATACTTTTTCAAGTATAAAATCAATTTACTAATTAATTACAATAAGGTTCTAATTATCTGCAGAAATTATCAGATTAAAAAGACATACCATGTTGGTGGACACAGGACAATGTTCAAACAAGACAAGCTAGATTAAGCTTTAACATAATTTGTCATAGCCTAATCGATTAAGGAGTTTTTGGATTAGTATATAAACTTATAATCAATGCCTTTCATCCAATTGGCATAGCCTAATCGATTTCAAGTCTCCTCACCCCTTGTTTCCATTGGATATTTTTCCACAATTAAACGCCATTCTAAATTTGTGATTGAAATGGAAAGCCCTATGAGGTGGTAAGAGCAATTACGTTGATGGATATCATTATTGTTCTCTAGCTTCTTTCTGTCAAAGATCCAGTTATTAAGATTTTTGCGTTTTAAACAATATGATAAATTGAAAAATCATTCATCGCAAACTAATTAAATACGAAGTAATACAGGGAAATAATAATAATTAAAAAAAAAACGAAATCTATGCATTACACAATCATAATTTAAGTATAGAATAATGAAATCAGAAACATTTTCTCAAATATATGTACAATATTGGATCAAAGTAAGCCAATTGCCCTAACTAAATGGTTGTAACATGCATTAACTATTTTAAAATGTACAGAAATAAATGTTGTTTGTCACTACATATGACATGCAATACATATATATTCTTTTAATATATGGTCATTGCATTTGTATGCGTTATCCTCATATAGTTATCATGGTTAATTGAAACCAATATTAGCTGTAAACCTAAATTACATATCCTAACAACTTTTAAAACCCTAAAAAAAATGTATATGAAAAGATTGGACAATCTATACTATAAAATGGTTGAGAAGATGAGGTTTGGTCGTCACAGCTTTGGCCGCCAATTAATTAGTTGCGTATTAATTTCAAGGATATGGTTATCACTTATTTATGAACCACCTACCTTATACTATTGCATGCCCCTTTATTAAAGTAAGGAGTTGCTAGAATTATACGAGTAATTTAGAATAACATTACTATTATTATTACTATTAAACATTTATTTACTATTTATATACACGTGAGAGAAGGAGAAGATTCGGCGAATTGCTTAACTTGCAATCTGGATCTATTCTTAGGAGTACACATGCAAGAAGTGCCTCATCTATTAATGGTATTAATATTTTTTGGTCCTTCTGTCCTTTTTTGATTAAGCTAAGGGTGAGACTTATTCACCTTACTAATAAAAATTAGTTTTAAGATTGATTAGGGATCTGTTATGTTCACTTTATTTTCACTTATTTCAGGTCTAACAAATTCAGATAAGTTCAGTTAAGTTAAGATAAGTACAGTTCAGGAAAATTAAGTTAATATAAGTCCAGTTCAGGAAAAATAAGTTCTTATAAGGGTTACCCAATTCAAATTACAACTAAAATATGTTCTAATAAGTTCAATTAAGTTTAGATAAGTGAAAATCAGGTGAATAAAACACACTCCTAGGGTGTAATCATAGTTGATCGAACTCCTCAATCATGTATAATTAGGTATATGTATACCACATGCAAAAATTAAGGCTAATATAATATGGTATGCTGTTAGTATGTTACTACCTCCTGTCAATGTTGTGTGCACGTAGATCACATTGTACATACAATATGTCTGTAGCACAATTTCACATCTATCGCTTTAAGTTGTTCATATATTCACATGTAATTTTGTTAGAGATATGTGTCTAGTTATACATTATATAAATCTATTAATCCATACAACTACTATTACATTCCCTAGTAAACTTCTCTCAATGTTTTTTCCTAAACAAGTACTATGAATTTTAAAAGCTAATCCACAATATGAATTTATTTTCTTATAGAATAAAATCAACGAAATTTAATTGATTCACACTAATAGACTTATTACAAGAAATATCCTTGGTACAAATGTGGGATGCAAAATCATTAGACTTAACGAGTCGATATCAATATCAATAACCATCAACCCTACGTCCATACATTTTTCTTTTACTACTACGTAGTACTAGTTCTTAATCAATCACTATTCAAATAATGTAAATTAATATAAGCAAATTCTAATTTAAACATCTCGTGGCTTTCTATGATTCGCACAAAATGAATTATCTCTTAATTAAATTCATACAACACTCATTCAAAAAAACATGATAGTTACACCATATGGATTAGTACTTCGTACTCGTATTATTTAACTACCGGAAATAACCAACTTTTCCTTAGCATAAGACCCATCAAAGACGTGGAAGCTGTCCACTGGTTGGTTAGCTTATGTATGAGCGTCAGAAAAATGTTTAGGAAGTAGCTAATCAACATGGACCAATGATAATGCGACGTGTATAACGCGCTTGGCCTTATCCTAGCTTAATAATTATACCTTCATCATATCCTAATTTTATATCTTGTCTTAATCGAAAAAATATTTTCTCTGTTTTTTTAATTGCTATCACTTTGCAAATTGTGTATTTTTAGGTAATTTTTGAAGATGAGAGAAATAGAAAGAATAAAAAACTAAACCCCTATGATAGGAGAGAGGTAGACTATGATTACACCCTAGGAGTGTGTTCTAATTATATCAAGTACTCGAATAATAATTAAAAAAAATGACGTAATTAATTTGAAAATTTCGTTTTAGAAAAGTGATCCAATTAAAAAGAAATTAGAGTAATAATATGGGGTTGTTTGACAATTGACTTTTTGCCTACTTTTTGGCTTTTTAGTTTGGTCAAACAGCCAAAAAAATATGTTTGGTAGTTGGCTTTTAAGCTGGCTTTTCTGCCAAAAGCTAATAGAAGTAGCTTATACTATTAGCTTTTGGCTTGTTGGCCCACTTTATCACTAATAAACTGCTAACAAATATTAATAATTTTACCAAACACTTTTGTAAACAGCCGGCTTAAACAAATAATTTAAAAAGTTAAACCATATAACTAATACTTCCAGTTTGTCAAACAAGTCAAGCAAACAAGTCAACAGTCAATAGCCAACCGCCTATTACCAAACAGCCCCATAATAATGTGGATCGTAATATGTCAAGATCATTGCCAAATATTATGAAAGTGGGTACATGAAAAAAGGTCAATTTCATGGGGTACACACAGATAGTCCAAGTCCAGAAGGAAACCCAATGAAGCCCAACTGTGGCCCACCAAATCAACCCAACAATCAAAAACTAGTTGTTTAACCGACCGACCTGTTATCATTTCTCAGTAATTTCAAGCTATAAAGGGTTCTTTCAAGTATAAATGAAAAAGACCTTTCAATTGAGATTAATAATACTGATAAAAGTATTTATGAAAAAGACTGAACAAATATCCACCAAAATAAAACAAGTAGTCACGTAGTAGGTCTATCATGAATGTTTTTATGATTTAAATGGTCCGACGTTAGAAAATTGATTACTTATTAAAAAAAATCGACATTATTTTCAATATTGATAAGTGACAATAATATTTGACAATTAAGTAATCCTTTATTTTATTCTCGAGGTTTTTCGAACTTCCATCTATAACCTTAAATAATTTTTGTTTTTCTACTAGTCATAGAATAATCCTCAATTTTTTTTTGGTAAATAACACGTTAAGATTACTAATTTCTTTATGATATATCCTTACTTGATTAATTTCGTACACCAAAACTTATGTGATGCATCAAGTACCAAGAATAAAATGAAGCTCTCGGTCCAGTGCATGCATGTCTTAATGCAAGTTTAGGACAATTGAAAGTGCAAGGTGAGGTAATGGTGTATTTTGTCTCCCTTTTATGTGCAACATAAATTATACCGGCAAAAACATTGTTTAAGTATCCGGATGCGGATAATTAAAAATATTTTATATTCCCGCCTTTTATTTGTAACATAAATTATATCGGCAAAAACATTGTTCAAGTGTGCGGACGCCTGTAATAATATTTTTTATTCCCGACTGCATGAAAGTTAAGGTAAGCAATCAAGTATGTGTCCACTTGACATAAGGATGATGTTAGGTGTAAGGTAAATGGCCTATTCATGAGCCTAAGATATTATAGAAATGTGGTTCAAGTTGATCAAACAAGCTAGCATAACTATACATACATAATAAATGTTAGTGTCTAAATTTGAAGCCGCGTTTGGGAATTGGGACCAAAAGAGCGTCATTTTCATCAAGTTGGTTTGAAGCTTAAAATGGAGATAAGTCGTGAAAATGAACTCCAATTAGGGTGGGCAGCTTATTCTTATATGGAGACTAGCTAATACAGAGTATCTCGTCAACTTGCCTTTTAAAGGTGGGTAATAATGGGGGTATCTAGTTGATCATAATAATGCCCCACTAGCTACATCTTAATAAGATCTTAACTTTGATTTACTCCGTACTACATACATGTCAACTAGTCGTAACTTATATAGATAAGTCACGAAGGATGAATTTCAAGACCTTGGACTTGCATTTTTCTTTTATTAATCATATCAATAACTAATTAATTTTTTGAATTACTATTATGCAACAAAATAATATTTATGTCTCACAAATAATATATCTTTGTTACATATAATAAGAAACGGAGGTAATATATATTGTATATAATATATTGTATGATACTATGAGCGCGGACTAACATAAATGTGTACAATTTTTTGCCTGGTTCATTTATAAAGTTATGGTCCCTGTCTATGTAGTAACCTATGATACTCCATTGGATAAGTGGATAAGTGTTGGTTACATTTATGTACAATTCTGGATTTCTCTGGAGCTTTAATTTATATATTTATCTCATTATATCTTAAATCTTGGTGCTAACGATGCATGATTAGTGGTTACCACCCCCTTTCTCTCTTCCTTTTTTTTTTTAAAGGGTTCTTCAAAATTAATGTTCTATAGATCAAGAATAGCCAAATTTCTTCATAATTAGCAAACCTTCTTCTTTAATTTCATCCTATTTTTGCTATTAATTTCAATAAAAACTATATCCTTTGAGTATAGTAAATGCGCATATGGTGGATGTTGCTCAAAGTTAACGTTGTACATGTTTATTTTATGGGTAAAGATTTATGTGAAATTGATTAAGAAGTTTATCGTGTGATTATAATTAGATGATCAAATTAAATGAGATTTTTCTTTACGGTTACAACAAATCGATAGACTCCCTCGCTAACTAAGGCTGTAATAAATCACGGTGATATGAAAGAGAGTATGAAAAATTATAGGTGATCGGGCTTTGACCAAAAATTGCAGTCCATTCCGGGTCAATTCTTTGGGGGCAAGCTAGGCCCAACTTTAAGGCCTAAAGAACTGTGCCTGAACCCATATTCTGGCCAATATCGAATCAGGGCTAATTTTTTAAAAATTGGGTCGGGCCCAAAAACTGCCCAAACCGACAAATTTTCGGGTCGGGCCAACTTTGATTAGATCTATGGAAAATGTACAATTTCAATGCAACAATGATCATAGCTTGTTGAAAGAAGATTTTTATTTGATTCAATTGTAATGTACAGTATTTGTTAAATTTTATTTTTTTGGAGATGTTGTGAGATATTTTATTTATAAATAAATCAATCTATACTACTTCCTCCGTTCTATTAATATTGCAACAATGGATTTTTTGCACTATTCAACACTCTTGTTTGACCAATAATATGATTTATACGTTAAACAAAATATAGTCATGTGGGATCTTGTTGGATTCGTCTCATAAAATACTTTCACAATATCAACTTTTTACAATTTTTACTCTTACACAATTATAGATATTTAACATATAAAATGTGCTTTGGGATGCGTAATTTCATCCTTGTTGCTATATTAATAGAATGGAGGAAGTATTATTTTAAAACAGGAAGTTGGAAGGACATGTGTCCACTTTCTGTTATTCCTGATTAAAAAAAAAATAACAAATTTTTTTTTTATCTTAGAGTTGTGTTCATTTTTGACTTTTTTTTTTGGTTTTACAAAAATTTAAGCCCTATTAATCTTACAGAAGCGTCCTTTCCAAAAAAAAAAAAAACATCAAAGTGAAGCGTTTCAATTTTTTTCTTCCCTTTTAAACCTGTTATTTCTTTTCCTCTTATCATTGTTCTTCATTTGTTTCTAAAATTTGTTTCTTTAATAGTCAGTTCCACATTCCCATCTCCTATTTATATCACAATACACACGCAATTGATCTCTCCAACCAAATTTTGAGTTTTTGCTTAAAAGAAATTGGGTTTTCGTGATCGGTTTCATCAGATATGTTACTACAACCAGGTTTGTATTTTTACCAGTTTAAATTTTTGGTTTCAGATCTGAAATCGGGTTGCAGTGGTGAATTTATTTGTATAGATTTGTGATACTATGGAATTATTTCTTTTATTTTTTTAGAATTTATATTTTTTCACTCTCGTTGTCTATCATTGTCAATTGATGCTTCTTTTTACTGTGTTTTAAAAACTTCTGGGTCGTCAAGTTTGTGGAATTGTTTTGGCTGATTTGATCAGATTTTAGTTATTTGCATGACAAAAATTAGGTTTATGGTATCTAACGACTAATCTGTTTATGGGACGTTGAGAAGAAGTTAATTTATTTTCCATCTCCAATTGTCACAAGTTTCGTATCCTATTGTCATAAATTCCGTCAAAAATTATGAGTATTAGGCAGAATTGTTGTGATCATCTGATTATCCTTTTTCTTTGCAATGTTTATTTGGTAAGAATGTACATATTTTCTGGTTTTATGAAATTTGCTTACATATATTAATATTTTTGGGTAAAAATTTACATCTTTTTTTATTTAATGAAATTCGGTTTCATATATTAACATTTTTGGGGATAAATGTTTAAATGGTATTGCTGAATTTTTAGAAATTTATGAGTGTTTTTAGATCAATAAACCACTATACGTTCAAATACAAAAAAAAAATATTACATACATTAGACAACCGTGCATAGCACGGATTTAAGACAATTTTTTTTTTTTATAAGTGAAAAACCCCCCTTGGTTTTGGGCTTTATCCCCCATATGTTTGTATCTTAGGTGGGCTCATCTGTTTTTATTTTTTGAAAACTGTAGCACAAAAAAATATCACACATATGAGTGGGCTCATCTGAAAAATTAGTCCAAACTGTAGCACAAAAAAAAAAAAAAAAAAAAAAAAAAAAAAACTGACACATATGAGTGGGCTATGGGCCAGTGGGTTACTACAATGAATGAGAAATTCAATGAAGATCAATCTTGTCCAAACAAGGCCCAATAAAATATCACAGCACAATGTATATGATTATGAAATTTTTGATGTATAATTTCACGTCGAATATTTAACAAAATAAAATTCTATCATTATACTTATAAATTTTATCTTCTAATATCACACGAGTAGTAGATTCTAAAATTATTTAACCTCTATCATAGGCTCATAGCTAAAAAAATTTTTGGTGTAGAAACTTCTAAATTTATATTTATTAATCTTATCTCATTACTTTTGCTTAAGTTAATTTGTTCATCATTAACTCTCCTATTTAACCTTAACTTCAAAAAAAAAAAAAAACTCGACTTCATGCATGAATTACAACGACATGGTAGAGTTATACATGACATAAAATTCCATTATAGTTAAATCTCTTTAGCCGACTCAAAAAAAAAAAAAAAAAAAAAAACCTATAAATATTGCATGCAACCTTTAATTTTTTATATCAAACCAAAACATCCATTAATTAAAAAAAAAAAAAACAATTACAATGGCATAACGATTTATTCTCTTAGCATCCCTCCTCTTCCTTTCGATAACAGGTGTAAGGATTAAAGTGTTCAACTAACTTGCAATCAACCCACAATAGCAATGAACAAACAAGCATAACAATCAAGAACAACTTTGAAGGAATTAAAGCAAGTAAAAGGAAGACAATGTTACCGTGGGAAAACCCGAGAACCGGGAGAAAAAACCCACCCTTGCACTATGGAGTAATATTGATGATGAATGAACTCAAGAATTACAAGCATGAATTGTATAGAATTCAAATGCTCCTCACAAACCCTCTCAAAACCTCTCTATGTGTTTAAATGTTTGTGAATACTCAACAAAGAGGCTTAGAAAAGGTATATATAGTCTAGGTAGAAAATACAATCCAACGGCTAAGATTAAAGCAAATCGCACAAGCCGAAAACGAAGCGACGAAATAGGGAGCAGGGAGGTTCGGCCGAACCTACCCAGAGTTCGGTCGAACCTAGGGTGGTTCGGTCGAACCTCTTTGGGTTTGGTCACTCCTCCTCTAGAAATGAAAACTGGTGCACCTACTGACTTAAAACCGGGTTCGACCGAACTTTTCACAAGTTTGGTCGAACCTTAACAATAAGGCAGCTTCTATGCAATCTCCTTATGTCTCCATGTATTTATCTATCTCCACACTAATCCTAACAACAGGCTCCTTAGCAAGCTACTCACCAGCCACATCATACCTCATATCCACCTGCGACGACGCCACGTACTCAAACCTATGCCTCGAAACCCTCCTCCCCGATGTTGACCGCATCAACAGCACCCCGAAGAAGTCCACTCGCCTTGCAATAGCAGCCACCATAGCCGTAGCCCAATCCGGGTCTAAGAGCATCACGCAGCTCTCAAAACAACCTCAAGTTTGGAGCCGCGAAGCTAACTCCCTCGACGATTGTAGTACCTCAATCGCTAACTCGGTCAAGGGATTGAACGCAGCATTAGACACCACGGACCACTTGGGCGGTGGCAGTAAGAGTGACAAGGAGTCAAAGAGGGTAAGCATGGTTAATAACATCAGACCCGTGCTTACGGCTATAGACACTTGCCTTAAGAATTTACAAGGGTTGAGGGCTAGAGATGTTGTCTTAAACAGAGTTCAAGATTCTATGACACCACTTAATCATCTTGCTACTAATGCTATCGATCTCATCCGTCGCATGCAGTTTTAAATTTAATCATATTATTTGTAGCAATACATTATTAAATATTTAACATTAAGAGGAGTTTTATTTTTATTGAGCAAGATTAGCAACCTAAGTATTATGATTGAGTTGTTTTATTTTATATCATATGGTACTTTGTTTTAATTGTCATTAGATACGCAAGTATATTAATGAGTTAATAATTGCAATTATACTTTTTTCGGTTTTTTCACCAAATGCCATTGACTTTTCACTTAATTCACCATATACCATCGAAAACTTTCAAATTCACCACATACCATTCAGTTTTAGAAAAATGTCACAACATGCCATAATTGACTAACGAAAGTTAACACCGTTAGTCATTAAGGCTAATAATGCTACGTGGCAACATATAACTGGTTCCTTTTAAATTATTATTAAATTAATTATCATAAAATAAAAAAATATATGAAAAAAACCCAACTACCCAAAGGCATGGCAACCCAACCACTACCCTGTCCCGACAACCCCCGCCGACGCGAAATCAGACCAGAACCTCGACGCCGGTGCGAAAACCATCCACAACCCCTGCGCCGACGTGGAATCTGGCCAGAACCCCCGCTGGCGCTCCTCCCCTTCCCTTGAATAACCGTTCCCGAACCCTTAAAACCCCTATCTCTCTCGAAAAACCCTCCCTTAACCACCGGCCGACGCCCACACCCGCCTCCCTCGTGTCGAAGAACTCAAATTCCCCTCCCTCAGTCGCTGCCGCCCAGTTTAATTGAAAATAACCACCCTAAAACCCCAAAATCGAAACCCTAGATTTTGGTTTTAGGGTTTCGAGGTAGTGATTCAGGTGAGGAGGGTGGAGATGGTAGGGGTAGGGGAAAATTAGGTTTTTCGGCATTTGAAAGGGGGTTTGGACGGCCGGTGGGTTGGGAGGGAGGCTTTTCGAGGGAGGGAGGGGGTTTTTCATTGAGAGGATGGTGGTTTAGGGAAAGAGGAAGACGCCAACGGGAGGTTCGAGGTTAGGGTGGCGCCGGCGCGGGGTTTAGGGCGGGAAGTGCTGGTGTGGGGAGGCCAGAGGTTGGGGGCATGGTGGGTGGCTGGGTTGCAGTGTGGTGGTTAACTGAGGTTTTTTTTTTTTATAAATAATTAATTTTTGATAAATAATTAATTTTTTAAAAAATTAAAATAATTTAAACAAGAACCAATCATATGCTGCCACGTGGCATAATTAACCTTAATGACTAACGGAGTTAACGTCCGTTAGTCATTTGGCATTTTGTGACATTTTTTTTAAACACAGTGGTATATGGTGAATTTGAAAGTTTTCGATGGTATATGGTGAATTAAGTGAAAACTCAGTGATATATGGTGAAAAAACCGTACTTTTTTAGCCATCTAATGTTATGATTCTGTTAAAAAAAGTTGTTACCCATATATATATAAAGGGGAGTTTTTTCCCGAGTTTTTAGAGCGCCACATAGAATTTTAATTTTTAAAAAATCATTAGAGCGCCACGCAGGATTAATATTTTTAAAACGCTACAATCAGATTATGCCACATAAGATTAGTTCTTTTAAAGCGCTACGTAGGATTATATAAAGGAGAGTTTTTTCCCGAGTTTTTAGAGCGCCACGTAGGATTTTAATTTTTAAAAAATTATTAAAGCGCCACGCAGGATTAATATTTTTAAAACGCTACAATCGGATTATGCCACGTAAGATTAGTTTTTTTAAAGCGCTACGTAGGATTATAATTAAAAAATAAACGCCACGTTGGAATAATATTTTTAAAACGCTACAATAGGATTATGCCACGTAAGATTAGTTTTTTTAAAGCACTACATAGGAATATAATAATAAATAAAAATTTATTAGAGCGTCATATAGGAAAATGTTATAGTTTAGCCAATGAAAAAAAGAATTGCAATTTATTTCAGATCTAAAATTTTATATTAATTATAAAAATAAAATCAACGCGTTTACTGTGTGGCTGACCATATCGTATGGCAATTGAGACACACCAAAACACTGACCGAGTAGCCTTGATCGTGCGAATAACCCCTGATCGATTAAGTAACCCTTGATCAACCGAGTAACCTTGACCAAATAATCCCGGCCACATGGTGTGACCAATCATATATGAAACTTTGTGAAATAAAATATTATCTTTTTATATTAGGAATTTTTATCTAAATATGAAAAACAAAATTAATAATTCATTTTGTAGTAAAAAAATTCAGGTAGTAAACAAGCGAATATCACAAAGTTTATCAGATACATATATATATTTCGTAAAATATTTTGTTTGAAAAAATACAAATAAACCGTGCATCACACGGGTTTCATCTAGTTCTACTATATATTAAAGAGGATAATTAGGCATATTCTCCAAATATTTATTTCTATATCAATTCAACAAGCATTGTAACGAGCTAACGAGTGGATCACATGCAAGGTCCTATACCCTATAGTTTGTGATTTGTGAAGTGAAGAGTGAAAAAAAAAAAAAAAATGTCATTAATTTCAGTGAAGTTATAGGAGAGTTATGCTCTCAAGTTCCAAGAGTGTCTCATGCATGGGTGATCTATTTATCATACTTGAATTGAATAAGCATTGATATGATGTTTATTTAATTTGTGCTAGAAGACTATCATGACATGCTATTACTTAGCTAACTCCGTAATTTAATTAAGTTGCTTCTCTTACATTGCTTATGCCCTATATCATTACGTGCATGGAATTAAAAACTAACTATACGTTTCAACTTTGAGGTTGTAGTGTTGGTATTGTTTTTATTAGCATACATGTACATGGTGCACTTACAATCGTTTTTCAAGGCGCTCTTGCTAGCACTGCATCAATTTTTTTTCAATACGTTGAATTTCTCGAAAAAAAATGGAGTTGGAGCTAAAATTATTATTGTTTTAGAACATATAACTAAACTTCGAATAAAATTAAATATACTCGTAGTAATATTCAACAAAGAAAACTTATATGATTCAGTAATAATATAATTAAAGTAACACAATACAATGATATGAGATGAAATTCAATCTAAATTTTGTTAGTATCATTTTTTAAACTTTCGATCATCACCTAAACTAGTTAATTAATTTTGACACTCTATAATTAATTAGTTCTAGTTCACGTGGCTCAATTACACATACATGCCAAGTGTTCTTCTCACCTAGATGACAATTCAGTGAATTAGTACAACGTGTAATGGTATACATTTTTTTTGTGTGAACATTATGTTATTCAACAATCACCATTATTTATTAGAAACATGTTGGAAATGATGCTTTGTAATATTGCATAAGATTTGCTATAAATATAGAGCAGTAACATCAAACAGTTCAAATGAGCAATCTATATTCATAAACTAGTACTACTGATACTTAAGCTCATCACTTACACAACTTTGTTTTAAAAATAGTATAAAAAAAAAAGAGTGAAAACATGAGGGGATACTTCAATCTTGCCGTCATAGTATGCCTTATGCTCACTGCTTCAGGTTTGCACGATCAATACGTACCTCCTTCGTTTTTTAGATGAATTATTTTGATTTTACCATTATTCATATATCTCGTACTTGTACAAATTTTTGGTGATTTATGTTATTTAAGCTAAGGAAAAATATGATCACGTAGATCTTGTTAGATTCTATTGACAAGTATGGAAAAAAGCTTTATCTAAAATGTTCAAAAGAAGTTAATTTTTATTCTTATCCGACTTTCTTATCATTAACGAAGCCAAAAGCATTTTTATTAATTTACAATAGGGTTTTTTTTTTTTTTTTTTGATATTATTAATTTGCTACTTTGTTTTTCAGCAATGACTAACACAAACAAAAAAATATTTGGTAATGGACTGTTGGAGGCAGAGATACAAGCGTTGAAAACAGTTGAAAAATTGATGGGAGCAGAAGATCAGTATTGCATTCCATCAGGCCAAATATGTGCAAGTTCTGGACCACCAGAACAATGTTGCTCTGGCGCTTGTGTTCCTCATCATAGGCTTCGAATTTTCGTGTGCGAATAAACCTTAAAATAGATTTAATGTAGTCGTCACCATCTTTAATCTGATTGTTATGTGCTCGAAGTTAAATTAGTATGGGATCTTAAATGTGACAATTAAAGATGGGTGGAAATAGAAGAATAAAATGCTCCCTCAAGTCGATTAGTAGTTTTTGAGTGAGATCGACTGGTGTAATGTTGTATGACTAGTTTAGAGGTTTAGTGTTCTACGTACGAAGGATATCATCTCTTGGGTATCAATTCTTGGATTAAGATGAATTTTGACTTTGGAATTCCTTGTAGCCAAGAATTTCTGTATTATAATTTCTATTTTCGCATCAATAATCAGAGATGTCCTCTACTTTTGATCTTTAAGTTTTAAGATCTGATATAAGGTTTTATATAAGAAAATTAAAATATTAGCTTAGATTAGTACCTATATACGAACTCATATACATTTATCCTTAAATTGTTGATACACTTTGACCGGCATAATATGAAAATTTAGTTGATTTTATTTTACTTTAGAATAATTAGTATTCCTTAAATAATTTTTTAAATATATTTTTAGTGAGTAGTAGGGGTTTTTATTTTTTTTAAATAATCACATAAATATTTAGAGTAATTAGATTAAATTTTCCAATAGATATTACGTATACTATAACATAATGATTTTTTTTTCTCATAAACATTATGTAATTTTAAGATTTATACAAAGTATGCTTCAAAATGTTTTTTCTTTTTTTAATTAAAATAAATTTTATTGTCAAATGATAAATTTTGGAGAAAAAAAATTGATATTGATAATATTATAATAATCTTGGAAAATAATATATTATAATACCTTATTTTTTAATCTATGTTAGTATTTTTGTAACTAAAAGTTTCCTAGTATATAAAATATATGTATAAAAATTTGAGTATAATTGGATTAAATATGTGTTCAAAGTGGAAATAACTATTATTGTAGGTTATAAAATGAATGTCATTAAAATATGGCAAAACAAAAAAAAAAAGAAAA